ACAAGGTGTTAGTTTGGGAAGACGAAAAATTACTGGAGATGGGTGGTGATGATAGTTTACAATAAGGCGAATGTGCATAATGCCACTGAAACGTGTACTTAACAGTGGTTAAGGGGGTAAATTTTATGTTATGTATATTTTAGCTGCAATTTAAAAAAGGAAATAAACATATATATATATATATATATATATATATATATATATATATATATATATAGTCTGTAACGTCCAAAACGACCGAAAAGATGACTAAATACTGGAAGTCAGTCCTGCAGCCCGACTTTCCTTCCAGACAAAGCCATAGTGGTGGGGGCGAGGCAGAGGCAGTTAGGGGCAATCAGGCCAGCAGGGAAGGGCAGTTGGGGGCAAGATCAGGTCAACAGGCAGGGCTGTTAGAGGTGATCAGGCCTGCAGAGGAGGGCAGTTAGGGAGAGATCAAGCTGGCAGAGGGATTAGGGGCGATCAGACAGGCAGTCAGGTGAGCACTTAGGAGCCAATGGTCCCATATTGTGAGAAGGATGTCCAATTGGAGAGGGTGCAGGCTGGGCTGAGGAAACCACTCCCCCCCCCCCCCCCCCGCACAAATTTTATGCACTGAGCCACTACTACATTAATAAAGGCAACAAAAGAAAAAGCCACACAATTCTTTCTGTTGCTGGCCAACTCTGTTGAAAATTTAACCCTTTGTAATCACCCCTGTTCATCCAAATTTTGTGCTCATAGGAAACAAAGCAGAGCCTTCCCCCTGCAGAAAGACATACAGCTGCCCCCTCCCAGGAGGTTCTTCAAGGCTAACTAGCCCCAGGTCTCCCAGTAGGCGATGCACTTTTGTTTAGTTTCATAATTTAATCTGTAAAAAGTCATGGTCAAGATAAGGAACATGCGTTGTGATTGGCTGAAAAGCCTTGCTTACTCACTGTCTCCCTTTTTATTTCTTCGTTGATGAAACTGAGTTGTTTGCCCTGGAGAGTTTGGGTACTGCATCCCTCTGCTGTATACTACATCCACACCTTCCTCTGTCCTCTGCATTTTCTGTGAATTGATAATTCATTAGATTGATATATTTTATTTTATAGATGCATGTAGTCCAACCATATAGTAATTTACTCTGGGATCTATTTGTTTGTTTGTTTGTTTGTTTGTTTGTTTTAATAAGGGAGGGGCATTCTTTTCCCCTCAACTTATTGTTTGGAAAGTTGCAAGCATGCAGAAAAGTGGCAAGAATACTATAGTGAAGACACCGAAGCACCCTTTATAGATTCACCAACTGTTGACATTGAGCCATGTTTGCTTTCTCTCTCCCTCTCTACACGCACTCGCACGCGCACACACATGCACACACAGGTGTTTCCCCTGTGTCGTTTGAACTGAAATTGTAGATATTATGGCACTTTAAAATATTTTGGCACACAGCTCCTATAAGAATGCTATAGGATGTTCTCCTATATAATCCCAATTATGTTGACTCAGTATTGTTATATCTAGCTTATATATTGTCATTTAGTGCATATTTCCATAATTATCCAAATTATGTTCTTTATAGCTATGGGTATTTTAAAAAATCAGAACCCAAGCAAGGATCATGAATTGTATTTGGTTTTCACGCCACTTTAGTTGCCTACATGACATTGACCTTTTTTGGAAAATCCTGGCTAGTTGCTTTACAGAAGGTCCCCAAGTTTGGAATTGCCTGATTGTTTCCTAATGATGAGATGCAGGGCAAATGTTTCCAGGGAGAAGACCGCACAGGCAGTGCTGTATCCTTCAGTGTAATGCTCGGGGGCGCATGGCGTCTGTTTGTCCCACATTGGTGGTGGGTTCAGCCACTGGGTGAAGGCGATGTCTGTCAGATTTCACCATTGTAATGGTACCTTTCTCCATTGTAATCAATAATCTACCATATGTTAATGGTTGTGTTTTTTTTCTTAAACAGTTTCAAGACCCTATGCCATTGATAATAGGAGAAATTAACAGGAAAAGGCTTTTAGCAAATATACGTAAAGAGTTATTGCCACTGATAGAAAGATAGTATGTTTTCCTGAGAGGAAAAAAGGGGGATGATGGGTAGTAGAGGTGAGGAATGGCTGTTAGAGAAGACAGACCATGTTTAAATCCCAGCGCCACAGTTGAATCTGTGCAACTTTAGGAAAGTCACCTAACATCTCAGATCCTGAATTTCCTGCCCAAAATGAGTGTGCAATAATATAATTCACGACAGGGCTGTTAAGGTGACTAAATGAGATGGTGTGTGAGCGGCCTCTACCCCAGCCGCTCCCCCACGACCATTCCATGAGAGATGTGGAGATGCTTCCGAAGCCCTCTGCAGAGGGTAAGCCTGTTCATGGGTGTTAATTCTCCGGTTTAGCCTGAACTATTCAGGCATGATGATAAGAAAATGTGATCAACAGGTTGGGCAACATTGTGACATTTCCAAGAAAGAAATTAAGAATTGGGAGACATTTCCAGGCTTCTTAAATAAGATTTGTCTATAGCGAACTTGCAGAGAATCGAGTTGCCTTGTATTCAGACCTCTTTCTGATTGCAATCCATTTGAATCTATTACCGGGGATTATTTTTGAAACAGTTTATATGTAGTCTGTTTGAGAATAGTGAATCATAATAATTCCATGACCCATTTACATGCATTACTGTAAAAGTTTCATTCCATACAAGTGACAATTTTTTAAAGTTAATTAGACTTGGCTGTACTGAGGTTAGCAAAAAGTGCTTTGAATTATCAATAATTCAGCAGGGCAGACATTTCTGTATAATGCAGTGGTTTTATAGAGTATTGTGAGATAGTTATCCCTAAAATAAATGGCGGTGAGCATTCATCAGCGTGGTGGGGCTCACACTTGAATGTAGCGTGAAGTGATAGCATCTATGCTTTCTATTATTGGGCAGAGTGTGGGACATCAGTCTTTCTGGCCATGAACTACTAGCAACCTTTGTCCTTTGTGTTACCTTTAGTTAAAAACGAAAAATGAGCATGAAAGCTGGCTGATGGCCATGTCTTTCTTGCAGCTAAAAATTCATCGGGGAAAGAAAAATGGGATTGCAGGTTTGGATTTGTTTCATTGCATGAATGATATGTGACATTTTGTAAATTATTTATCACGGCAAGGATGGCAGCCATGGCTAGAGCATTGTTATATCAAATGAAAGCAGGAATCCCATTAGTACAAGGACCTGGTTTCAGCTAGAATCTATCAGGGGAATGTTGTCATTTTAAAACCAGATTGTTCTTTTAATTGCTATTTAAAGGAACAAAAGTGTTCCCAAGGTACTGCAGTTGAGCAGTTGCAAGTAATAACTATGGATCCATAATTATGCCGTGCTGATTATCTGGCATTTAAAAATTTGTGGCTGGAGTCAGTGACCAATTTATTGTAGCTTGTCTTTTTTGTTGTTTTTCGAATTCAAACTGTATTATACTTTTTTTTAACCAAGGCCTCAAAAGCACATTTGCATAGCTACCTCAGAAAGTAAAGCCTGTGCATATTGAAAGAACACCTTACACTGAAAATAAGGGCAAAACGATGAACACTTATATTGTAAGATAAAATTAACAGTCCTATTTAACAATTTTGTAAATGCTTGGTTACAAGACAGATTCTGGTGTTTGAGGACATGTTGTCACGGTGAACCAGGACATTTGTTGGAATCATTGTAAGCATTTGAAATATTTTCTTTGAGATGAGCATTTTTTTTTTTTGTTTTTTTTTGTTAAACTAGCATATGTTTCTTTCATTTATGCCATTAGCAAATATTTTTTGAGTGCCTACTGTGCATCAGGCAATGTATTAAGGCATTTGGGATAGAGTAAACGGAATAAATGATGTTTATTCTATGCTGATGTATATTTAGAAAGACCTAGCAAAATCTTGTTTTAAATTCACATTAAAAATTTTGTGCTTATACTAAGTTTTCTTGCCCCGAATCTTTGATTCAAAAGATTTAAATATAAATACATTATAGTTGCATTCAGATGGTTGGCAGACATGTGTGAAGGCTTGGAATATGCAAAAAAATTTTAGTTTTCATACAGTTTTGGTTGTTCAAAATAAATGTGACCAGATCTGTAGGCACAGTCAACTATTCATATGGATGGGAATACTAGCATTGCTGGGAGTCATAAATAACCGTGGAGACACAAAATGTATGCAGATTTATACATTGTTCAAAGCATTTTCCTTAGTGAGAATTAAAGGGTCCTAGGGGGTTAGACAAATGTTTTGTTATTTCTTTTATTAAAGTGGGAATGTCACAGACTGAGAATTTATTTCCTTTATGTGGCATGATATGGTTTACTTTTTAAAAATTGATTGAGTTGAGAGAGAGAGAATGAATAACAGTAACCTGCACTAAAACATTTGATAAAATTCAGCTAAACAGTCAGACCTAAGTACATGATAATTGGTAATCTCGAATACTGAATACATAGATGAATCAACTTATTATAGGCATATAGGTTATGGGAATGATACAAGATTTCAAATGAATCCTTAATGTTCATTAATGGAAAGTTATATGACATATTAGAGACCCAGTGCACGAATTTGTGCACAGGTGGGGTCCCTTGGAGGGAGGGACCGCAGGAGGTTGGCTGGCCCAGGAGGTTGGCTGTGGGAGCACATTGACCACTAGAGGGCAGCTTCTGCATTGAGCATCTGCCCCCTGGTGGTCAGTGCATGTCATAGTGACCGGTTGTTTGGTTGTAATAGTCACTTAGGCTTTTATATATATATATATATGTAATTTCATTGGTTTAATAAAAATTACTTCTAAATCTTACGTATTACACTTAAAAACCTTTAGGCAATAAATTCTTTAGTATAGATAACTGTAAAGATTTATTTTATCACCAGAAAATGCTGATTTGGACACCTTATTGAGCAGTTTTTATTTGTTAAAGAAATATGTAAGCAGCTTTTGACTTTAATGTTTTGTTCTTAATTTTGGAAGACTAACAATATTTTTTTTCATTTTAATTGTTATAGCCCCGTGCTGATCCCATTCCAATATGTAGCTTCTGTTTGGGGACTAAAGAATCAAATCGTGAAAAGAAACCAGAAGAACTCCTTTCTTGTGCAGACTGTGGCAGTAGTGGTAAGTTGGTGTTGTTTTTTTTTATATGTGTACAATGACTCCCTGTTATAGCTACATGCTATTTATCTCTTTCAAAACTGTATTTATTTCTTAAAGACTTTTTTTTTTTTATCCCAAAGAGGGAGGGAGAGAGAGAGATAGAAATATCAATGATGAGAATCTTTGATCAGCTGCCTCTTGCATGCCCCCAACTGGGGATTGAGCCCCACAACCCGGGCATATGCCCTGACCTGGAATTGAACCATGAACTCCTGGTTCATAGGCTGATGCTCAACCACTGAGACACTGACCAGGCAAAACTGTATTTGTTACTTGAAGAAATTATTTGATAATAGCATATATTTTAAAATTTATAAGTAATTACAGATAGAGGGGAGAAAAGTGTGAATATATTAGCACTGGCATAAAGTTATATATGTTTATATAACTTATATTAATATCTATAATTAAGCTTTGATTTCATACTAGCATTGGTAATTCAGTGTAGAGTATTCTACGTTGCAGGCAGATTCAAGGAGGAGAATCCTAAGTTTTCAAGCTGGAATCGTGTTTTCTATAACCTGAAGTCTCAATTAAGAGATATTTGAGCTAGGATAGCTAGTGTTTCAGTTCATGACACCTACTGGTGAAATATAGTATTACATCACAACTCTGTGACCGAAAGGGACAGTATTCTGGAAATTGCAGTGATAGAATCAAGAAATCAGACATGAAAGGAATTAAAATTGCCTAGAATTAGGTGGGGAAAGAATGGTCTTTGTAGAAGGTGATGTTGAAATCAAGGCATGCTGGGCAGGGACACTGGACCGCTGGCAAATGGCAGGATCTCCATATGCTTTCAAGGTGACTCTCACTTCTGCCTTTTTCTCAACATTTGAAGATCACATCTCTAGTTTTATAATAAAAACTAAAAATCTAACTGTTTATATTAAAATAGTTTGTTTTACATTAAGAGCCAGTCTTCCTTCTTCAGCTGGTGACAGTTGTCTAACGGAGATGTGTATATGGTTATATGTTTTGTATTCACACATACACATACTTAAACAAGCGTACATACATATCAACAGGTTGAGTGGCATTTATTGGATTTTTTAAAATTAATCCTTGTGTTAGTCTTTAAATTTTCTTCCAGCTTACTGAAACTCCCCCCCCAAAGTGATATTTTAAAATTCATAACCAACTACTATTTCTGTAGTTATAGCTATCTTTAAAAAAACAAACCTGCCAAACACCATAGCATAGTTTCTTTTAGGAAGTCAGTGTCGTATAGTGGTTAAGAGCAAACTGGAGAGCCAGCAATAGCCTAGCTCCTCTTCATTGAGGTAATTCCTCAACCATTCTGAGCCTCCTTTTCCTCATTAGAAAATCTGGCAACATTACCACCTACCTCTTGGGTTTTGTGGGAATTAAAGGAAAGGACACAAGTAAACAGCCTAGCAGAGGGCCTACAACAACTCTGGCCAGTGTGCTATATATAAATGCCAGCCATTGTTATAATTCGGCATATTTGATATTGCCCTTAATTGCTGCAAGTAATTTAAAATCTCATCACCGCTTTTGGCAGCTGCTCGATGCTTGGATGGAGGAAATGCTTCACACTGAGGCATGACAGTGTTGTGTAAAGATGCTTCTTCCCCTTAGGAAGGTTGAACTTGATGGGCTCCATGTGATTCAGCAGCTTTAGGACCTCACTTGAAGGGAGAGCCTTGGAAATAAGACATTTCAAACTCTGCTTGAAAAATGCATTCTGACAGTCTTTTTGATGGGCCCTACCGATTCATTAAATCCTCTTACCTGCCCATGTTATCATGGAGAGTGACAAAGGGCAGGGAAACATTATCTGTGTGTTCGGTTTAATAAATTTCAGCCCTGCAATCTCTCTGTTTTAGCCTGGTGAGGTAGTGCCTCACTCATCGGTTCTGACTCTTTAGTTATCTTTTGGGTTTCTCATGAGGCTCACTCTGAATGAATTATTCTTTTGTTTCGCTGCCTGATTAATTCAGAGGTGTTCACTTGTCTAGGGTGTACCCTTTGCAATTTTTAAGGTGGTGCTTGAACAGCACCCTTCACTATTTTATTTCATGTGTATGTATTTGTCTGGGCACTTAGACAGATTAAAGACGCACGTAAGTGTGGGAAGAAAAGTTCCCTTCATACATTTCCTTAACCCCGGTGATACACTTACTTGAGTTGATAAGGAATTTGAGATCATTATCTTCTAGATCATAACTTCAAGGCCTCCTTCACAGGGTATAAAGGTGTAATTCTAAACAGGCAGATCTTAGATGTTCTGATGTAATCAATCTCCCTTCGTCTCTCCCAGATTGAAGACCTGCCAAAGGAGAGTTTTGATCTCCTTTATACTTTGAGGTCACTGAAATTGTTTTCCCTCCAAAGCTTCTTACTTTTCCAGGGTGTGTAGGTATAGTGTTATGTTTTCTTTTTTCAAAAATACTCTCTTGTTTTCTCTTTTAAACACACGAAGAAGAATGGATGGAGGATACTGTCGAGAAGGCTTATAAAGCTAAAGTCATTTTGTGCACCAGTCTTTCCCCCTCCCTTCAGGTAGACAGAGCCAGAGGCTTTGGAGTGGAGGTATGGGTTATGGCAGAAATTCAAGCCCTGGGGTCATCATGTTCCTTTGTTTAGGACAGAGGATGGCTCAGAGTGCTTCTCTGGACTCTGCAATGGGATCCGGCTCTTCTGTTGAGGTTCACTTAATCTTCCCTTGAGTATTGTGCCAGTCTGGAGACAGCTATGTTGGTCAAAAGAACCATTGTTTCTAATTCAGGGAGATGTACTGTAGGTATTTACTTCAGCTGGTAGATCAGATGAGTGGACTTTGTTATTTGTTAGTCTTCGAATAGAAGGCTCAGAATAAAATATGGCTCTTCTTAGAGAGCTCAGGAGGACAGGATCTTGTAGTTATACCCCAGTTGGACCCCTTGATTATTATTGGGGGAACAGGAATAAAGCCGGCCTGACATGGCTTCACAGTGCCCTATGATAATGGCGGGAGTTCCCCCATCACAGCTTCTTGAGCGGGAATTCAGGTTGGTTGTACGCCTCGTTGGTCTCATGGAAATGGCCACTGTTTCACTCTCAGTGGAGTCCATTGGTTCTAGGATTGAATGGAGACCATTTGTAGTGTTCAAAGGAATCACTAATGTAAGATGTTTATGTGGAAAAAAATACCCAGAGCAGTTTAAAACCAGGAAAAGGAAATGTAAATGGCAGCCCATATGCAGGATCATTCTGAAATGTGTTTCCCACATGTGCCTGTCGGTTCTTAGCCGCCTCTACCTGAAGTACCATTTGTATGATGTCACATTGAAACTCCGATTAGATTTCGTAGACATGAGTAATAAATGTTTCCTTCTGCTTACATCATCAAGACAATTAGAAATATTTCTATATTTAATATGACGCAGTATCACAAATGGCCAGTATTTTCTTCACCTATGTTTTTCTCTGCTGCAAGTTCTTTTGGAAAAATGGTTCGGGTTTGCAGGTAGTAAAAATGCGAGGTGGCCCAGCCAGAGTAGCTCAGTAGTGGAGTGTTAACCTATGAATCAGGAGGTCACGGTTTGATTCCTAGTCAGGGAATATTCCTGGATTGTGGGCTCGATCCCCAGTTTGTAGTGTGCAGGAGGCAGCCAATCATTGAAGTTTCTATCTCTCTCTCTCCTTCTCCCTTCCTCTCTGAAATCAATAAAAATATGAAAAACAAACAAACAAAAAAGACACGAGGTGACGTATATAGTGCAATGAGCCCCAAATGTGGTGTTCCAGTTCTCTTCTGCTCACCAGCTGTGCGACTGCAGTTTTCCATATCTGTAAAATGCAGAAGGTGACATCTGTCCCCTGTATCCACAGGGCTGTTGTAAGGATTTAGTGAGAGAATGATACGAACATTATCAGTGACTATAAAACATTCCACAAATGTTGAAGGATCATTCTAAGCACTGATATGAATGTGGGAATCATCAGATAGTCTTCACGTCTATGGAAGTGTTGGGACTGGAAAGTGATTTCACTTGACTTTCATGGATCAGCCTACTTTGAAATGAACACTGTTATATTCTCTTTGCCTCATTAAGACCAAATTATCTTTAATTAGCTTCACATAAGTATTAGATATTATACCAAATGAAATTTTGTGTCTGCTGCTCAGATTGCTGGGTGCTTAAATCTTACTTACAGATGAGTTGTGTGCATGTGTGTTTTCAAATTAGCAAATCGAAGATAAGTGTACAGTTCAAAATTACAGCATCAATCTAAGTGGAAGCTCATTGAAACTAGACACTGAGAAAGGCTGCTGTGACGTGGCTGGGAGAGTAAGAAAAACACCTCATACAGTAAGGGGTTCGAATACCAGCCCCCCTCTCAGGAGACCTGGAATCCCTCCTGGGTTTATTGCCTCCCTACAGTGAAAATCTAAAGGTCACTTCTCAGTCTCTGTCAAAATCTAACGGACATGTTTCCGACCATGCTGAATACTCCTCTCGGCCATGTTCGACCTGTTTAGAGCCTTTTTCCTTGAAGTGTTTTCTTTCTTTGGCTTCTGTGATATATTCTCTGCATTCTCTCTCTGCCACTTCCTTTCACGTCTTTTGTTAGCTCCTTGGCCTCTCTCCATCCTCTAAATGTTTCTCCAGACTTCTGACTTTGGCCCCGTGTTTCCCCCTTTGCTTCCTAGTGTCTCCTCAGCTCCAGACCCTTAGATATAAATGCTTCCAGAACTTTTCCATTTGGAGGCCCCACAGGCTTCTCAAAGTTAATGTCTGAAACAGCTTATCAGCTTTGCCCTGCTCCCTCCGCCCAAAATCAACACACACAACAACACCAACAAATGTCAGCAAACGTGCAACATCTTGATTCTCCTCAGGGACCTACCAGAGTAGCAATGGCGTGCCTCCGGCTGAATTTGGAGTCCTGCAGTTCTCTCACACCAACGAATCCAAAATTCTATTGATTCTGTGTCTTAATATATAGCCTACATCCTCAGTGTGTCCACACACCCACCAAACCAACTCAGATCTGCTATTATAATAATTACATCTAATCTGGACCTTCTGTCCCCTCCTCCATTTTTTATACTGCAGTCTAAGTTACTTTTTAAAATTGTAAATCTAATCATGGAATTTTTCAGTAACTACCAATGACCAGTAGAAAAAAAAAAAAACCAAAAATTTAAAAATAGCCCCCAAATCTCTCCTGGATTGGGCTCTTAACTATATTCTAACATCATTGTCACTTTCATGTTATGTGCACCTTCTCCTTCCCTTGAATGTATCATGTTCTCCTCTCCTTCTGCACATGCTAGCTTCTCGCACCTGCCCCTCCCGTGGTCCCATCTAATCTCACTCATCCTTTGGGTCTCTTCTTTAGGAAGGCCTTTGTCTAACCTCTTGCTCAATTCTTTCATGTCTCTGAGCTACCTCATTGTCACATGTTAATCCTAATTCTTGTTTAATGCTTGTCTATCTTTCCTGCTAGACTGTATGATCAGAAATATCTGTTCTTTTCCTCACTGCCTCACATCGCCAGTCCAAGGGACCCAGCATCTGAGTTTATATTAGTTTTCTAATTCTGCTATACCAAATTCCCACAGAGTTGTTGACAGGATTCAGTTCCTTGTGTTTGTAGGACTGAGATCTTCCCTAACCCCCCTTCAAATCCCCCCCCTTTTTTTTCTAGTAGATAAATGGCATTCTCTGCTTCTAAAGACCACCTATATTTCTTGTCCTGTGCCCCCACCCTCCTTCCATCTTCAAAGCTGTCAGAGTTTGGTGGCGTCCTTCTCGCACTTTGAACCTCTCCTCCTTCTTCTTTCATCTCATCTTATTAACCCAGCTGGAAAAGATCCTCTGCTGTTAAGTACTCATGATTAGATTTTTGCCTTCCCAGATAATCCAGGATAACCTCCCTATCTCTAGTCCTGGACCCTTAGTCTCGTGTGCAGAGTCCCTTTTGCCAGGCCAGGCCATGTAGACACAAGTTACAGGAATTATGGTGTGGACATCATTGGAGGCCATTATTCTGTCTACTACAGAGACCATGTGTTTTTCTGCCACAGCACTTCCTCCAAAAGTCATTTCTTCTGGTTTGTGGTCTCTTTGGTACTTATTCCTTTGGTTTTGCTAGATAAGCTACCAGTGCTTACTATGTGTTTGTAATAAGAATGTTGAGTGAATGAATGTATATTACGATCTCAAACCTGATAAATTGCAAGCCACAGAAGCAAACCAAATTCCAGAAAGACAAACCACCATGAGTTGTGTCAGCAGAGAGAGCCTGAATTTTAGCGGAAATGGTGGAGAGGAATGGCTGTATGGGAGGTAGGGAATTACATTGCTGTCTTTTATCTAATTACTATAGATTGGGTGTTAGTGTACCAGGACTCAATTACAGTCTTTTGTGTTATTTTAAAGTTGGCCACGAGAAAATAAAGTGGAAATATTTCTTTGTCCCTCAGCATTCTTTTCCAGAATCATAGAAATTTAGAGCCGGCAGGGATCTATGGCCAGTTCTCTTGAGCTAAATAAAAGTTAGATTGCTGCCTAAGGGAGAGATAGGCTGAAGATTTTAGAATTTGAGTAGCTTAAATGGTAGTAGTTGAGAAATATTGCTTCAAGTGAGTGAAAGTAATAAGAGGAAGGATATTCTGTACTCTTGATTGAAAATAGCCGAAATCCATTAATTTTCAAAATATATAATTATTAAAAAACATTTTTCATAGGATATCTGTGAGAATAGTAAGCTGTAAAATGATGTGAATTACCTTAGTGGCTGAATATTAAGCTACAAAGAACAAAAGCGGATTTTAATGTAGAAAAAAATGCTGTGCATGAAATTGAGGTCATATGTGCTAGTGATGTATGACTTACAGGAAGTAATAAAAGAGAGGAGGGGGGGAGAAGAGAAGTAAAGGTATACTTTTAAACTGATGGGACCCATTTTAAGGGTGGAATTTAAATTGCCGTTCTTTAAAACCTGAGTTTTTACCCCCCCTCTATAAGGGGGCGGGGGAACCTTGATCAAAGTAGACCTCTCCCTTCCCCTTCAGAATATACTTCTTAAAGTCGACAAGCAAGCTGTCTTTGTTTGCTGTTCCTGCAGAAGGTGGTGATGGATACCATTTTTATATATTTAAACTTTCCCCACGTTTATTTGAATGAGAGAAGCCCTTGGAAAAGAATGGTGTCAGAGGTTAAATGCATCTGCCCCGGTGTTTCTCCTGCCTGAGGTCATTCTCCTATGACAACATTTTATTTGCACAACATCTTAAATACAGATGTTTAGATTTTTTTTTTAAATGCTCAGGAATAGTGTGCTTTTATTAACAGTATTGATGATTGATTTTGAATGTTTTTACTTCAAAAAGCCAAATCTCCTGGTGGGTGGAATTTTACGAAGCACCTGTTAAGCTTTAGGGAGGAGGACCTTTTTGGCCGCGACCCAAAATACATATTTAAACAATGAGCCTGCCAAAGTCAGGAAATTATAAAACAGTTTGGAAATTGCAGAATCTGCTTTTTTTTTTTTTTTTTTTTTTTATTACCCCTCAGGTTTCTCTTGCAGCTTGGTTATAAATTCTTTCACATGGGACTTACTAATGTTCTTACTATTTTAAGACCAGATTTAGAAAAATTAAGTCAAGCTTGGAGATCTCAGGTTTGTATGCACAAAGACCATCAGATTGTAAACGGAATTGCCTCCTCCAGAATGTGGGCGCCCACTCCCCAAAGCTTGTGGCGGAATCCAGTATGCATTGTTGAGCGCAGCCCGGCTGGCTTCCTTGAGCGGCGTGGCCCCTCGGGGTCTCGGGTTTTCGGTGAAGCGAGAGCTGCCAGATAGAAAGTGTGCCCCAAACAGTGTGGAAAAAAGCTGAACACTCAGGAAAATGGGGAAACCTGCTGAGGGTATGCTTCTTGGTGAATTCCATTTGACCTTGATCGTCCAACATTCTAACTTTCAAATTTACTATTTCTCTTCCTACTTCTAGAATTTAAATTCAGAGACTCGGTGTCAAGATAGCCAGTTATCTTTTTTTATATTCTAGCAATGGGATATTCTTTGTATACTAATGTATTTTTTTTGGGGGGGGGGCGGGGGGAAGGAGGCATTTATAGTTGTATTAGTTAAGTAGCCCCAGTTTTTTGTTTAGCTAATTGTTGCTTTATGTTTTATGATTTCATTACACACATAGAGCGGGAATTGTGTGAACTTTGGCACTGCTCTCACAGTTGGGCAAACCAGAGAACGCTAGGTAAATGATGGTTTATGATGATGTTTTATGAGGACAGGAGGTTCACCAGAAGGCACAGGAATCATCTAAGCATCTGTCATCTTCAAGTTCTCCATGACTAATGATTATGATTATGAGAGACACATTAGTTGGTTGCCTCCACTTAATATTAAATAAGAAATATTAAAATGCTGCCCTGGTTGGATAGCTCAGTTGGTTAGAGCATTGTCCCACTATGCTACGGGTTGCAGGTTCGATTCCCTAGGCAGATATAAGAATTGGTATAAAATATCCAGTTTCTCTTAGGGAAAATGTTTGTATAGTCACTCGGTTACATACAGGGGTAAAAGGCAGAAAAACAAAGTCTAATTTGGATTCTTTGACATTTTTTTATTTTCAGGTTCTTAAGGAGCTTTAGTTGGCATTATCAGTATATTAAATATCAGGGAATGGGAGTTTAAAAACATCTCAGGCACCATTCCCATAAAGCAATTTACTTTTTATTCTTATAGGACACCCATCCTGTTTGAAATTTTGTCCCGAACTAACAACAAATGTAAAGGCCTTAAGGTGGCAGTGCATCGAATGCAAGACGTGCAGTGCGTGTAGAATCCAAGGCAAAAATGCAGTAAGTCCTGCTCTCCATGCTCCGTCTCCAGGAAACATGTCCGTTTTCAGTGTTTAGGTTCTTATTTTCTGTAGACTGTTGCTATATTCCTTTAAATAAACAGATGTCAGGCTTCAGCATTGATCACGAAGCTCCTTTATTATATTTTATGACTGTTAATTGGATAACATAGGATTTGTGGCCTTTTACAGTTGTTTTCAGTCTCAATTAGTTTCTAATATGTCACATTGCAGGATAATATGCTTTTTTGTGACTCCTGTGATAGAGGGTTCCATATGGAGTGCTGTGACCCCCCACTTTCCAGAATGCCAAAAGGTGAGTTTTTAAACCATATTTAAGACGTGTTTTATTACATGCTCATTAGCCTTGTCCTGCTGTCTGACAGCTCAGAGGTTTACAGGTTCCTTAAGCATTTTTTCATCTCCCATCTTCCTGTACTTAGGGGTTTGGCACAGATTACGACCAGAGGAGCATAACAGCATTTAGTTTGAGGCTAATGTGTATAATAAAGACTCTAATTCAGATACAGGGATAAGAAGATTATTCCTCTCCTGAAGCTCTTCCTTTACTCGAATAAGTTTAGTTTAGGTAGGTCACAAGTTTCAAACACTCTCCCTATTATTCAGTCCAATATTCAGAGGCAAGAAATTACCTATTTTTGAGATGATGGTGATAATGACTCAAAGATCCTGCAACAGGAGCCATCACCATTTTCTTGGCCATTAGTTGATAATTTTGAACAGGAGCATCTGAACTTTTATATGGGGTAAGGTTTTCTATCTCTATTTATTGTATAAGTAAAGCCTACCTTAGTATCTTTTTTCTCATTTTTATATGTTAAACATTAAAATAACTTTGCCTTCTTATTACAAAATTTGTACATTTTCATTGTGAAAGGTTTAGAAAAAACATTGATAAAAAAGATATCAATTAGAAATTCCTTCTTGCCCCACATACCTTTTAAAAAGAAATGGAACATTTTATATATAATTTGTAACTTTGTGTTTTCCCACCTTAACAATAGGTCCTAGCATTCCCACATCATTAAATGTTCTCCTAACATAGTTTTTAACAAGTGTGTAGAACTCCATAATATGTAGAGCTGAGGCTACAGACCTGGTGATTGTGGGCCACAGATACGCTTTGTTGGCTATATATAAATCTGTATAAATATTTACAACTTCTCTAAATGCATTACAGAAGAGCTGCTACAATATTTAAAAAAAAAAAAAAAATTTAAAGTGAGCTCTTTAGGTAGAGTATGCATGTTCCAATTTACCCCAGTCTGACTCTTCCCTGTGTTACATTCCATCTTGCTTTAGTCACATATTATTATACCTGGGTGGTTCCTGAACATACTTGATTTTGCAACCCCTTGTATAAGAAAACCCATAACTTATTTAATCAGTCCCCTATGGTGGACATTACAAATGTTTCCAATTTTTTCCATCCACAATTATTGCCTTAAGATAAATTCCTAGGGGAGGAATTGCTGGATCAAAGGCTATGTACATGAAAGGTTGTATCGGTGTTCAGACCAACCACCAATGTCTGAGAATACCTGCTTTCCTGTATGATGACCAGCACTCACCATTGCTTTATGACATTGAATCTGAGGCACACTTTAAAAAACAAACAAACATTTTAACGTCTTTGAAATAAGATGCATCTTTTAGCCAGCCAATGAAATGCAGTGTCCTTATTTTACATTTTTACCAATTTGATAAAAGAAAAAAAGATGTCTGATAATTGTTTTCTTAAAACAGTTAGATTAGACATTTTTTTGTGTGCTTGATTATTGGCTGTTTGTATATAATCTTTGTAAAGTGCCGGTTTTGTCCATTAATCAGTTTCTATTGGGGTTTTTGACCTTTTTTTTTTTTTTTTTTTTCCTGATTTGCAGAAGCTCATATTTTTATGCAGTTAAATCCATGAGTCTTTGATGGCTTCAGTCTTAAATGTCAGTAATGCTTAGATTATACAAATATCCACAGATTTTTCCTGGTGCTTGTAATATTTCATTTTGTCATATTGTAATATTTACCTGCCTAGAATATATTTTTGTAAAGGATAGGGAATAATTTTTTTCCTACCTAGATAGATAGCTGTTTGTTCCATTACCACCACGTATTGAGTCCTTTTATCTGATAATTTGCCACTGATTTGAAATAAAACGTGTTGGATATGCTAAACTTTTCTCTAGCTTTCAGTATTATGGCTTTTCAATTCTTATCCTTGACCTAGTTCCCTATGCCAGGTGAATAGTTTTAATAATTGTAGCTCCATAATGCTTAAACATTTTAAGTTTTAATTTAAAAATTATATTTTATACTGATAGTTTTTTTAGCGTGGAAAATTTCCAGAAAGAAATGATAAAATAAATATTTTTGTCCAGATGTTCCAAAAACTGATTGTCTTGAAAATGTCTTCCTCAAATCAAAAGACATATAGTATCTGACAGGCTCAGGTTGTCTCGTGTGTTTATGTGGATGAGGGAGGCATGGTGACATGTTGGAAAGCCTTCTGGAAAGGCTCTGAGATGGGGCTGCCCTCTGCTCTCACCACCTTGACGGGGAAATTGACCTTTAACAGTGGCTTCCGGGAGAGACTGACAGAAAGGAATGAGCCACCTGTCGGAGTCAGGTTCTGCACGCAGGCCTCCTTACAGCGCAGTTTATCTTTGATGTCTCTCCTAAAATGAAACATTAAAATATTTTTCTCATATATGTATTAATTCAGGGATGTGGATTTGCCAAGTCTGCAGACCAAAGAAAAAGGGAAGAAAACTACTTCATGAGAAAGCTGCACAAATAAAACGTCGATATGCAAAACCCATTGGACGACCGAAAAATAAATTAAAGCAACGATTGTTGTAGGTTGAGATCTTATCAAAAAGGAAATCTTTTATGTTGTGCTTTAAAATATAGGTGATTATAACCCCCATAGGTTCCATTAACTTTTTGCCATCATTTTTACAAACTCAAGGGATGGGGACTATTTCTCCTTTTATATAAGCTGTGGAAATTTTTTGAAAATAATGTTTTTAATTACAGTTGGCATTTTGGGGTCTTCTGTTGGCAGGATCTGTGATGCTAAGTGACATGTTTCAAGCAGCAGGATGGAAGCAGAATGTCAGCACAGAAAACAGTCATTCGGCCTACTTTGTTACTGGCTGAGCATTAGAAGAGCTTAATTGTACAATAGTTATGTGGAAATTTTAAAACGAGAGGGATTTGTCTCTAGTGAATCTGTTTTGTCGCTCCAGATAACATTTTAGAAAAATACTTATTTTTTTCTGGTGCTAATTTAGTATTGTAACATTTCAAGATCCTCTTTATGAAATATGGCCACCTGAGAAACCTGCAAGTGAAGTGACTATCTTCATGTTTGCCTCCAAAGAGTTAGACAGGACTATTTGGTATGTGCATATGTGTGCAGGCCCATAGTACATACAGAGTAACAATTCGCTATGGCCTCCAGCTCTACTATGATAAACCCATTTCTGCTACCTTTGCCACAAGGTTGCATTAAAGCTCAGTAGAACATTTGCAGGAGTTACTTGGAAAAGTAGAGAAAAGATAAGAAGTGAAATGCATGTAGTTTTTAAAACCTGTATAGAGTAGGGATTTGACTCTGAGTATTAAGTAAGGTGTTTAGAAATGAAATCAGCAGACTTTCATTAATAGAACTGCGTATCTGAAGCAGTTCTATTAATAAGACCATTGTCCAGTTCCTGAAAGGGTGACTGTGATATAAAAAATGAGTAAATGATCTCTCCACACACCCTGAACGAACACCAAGTGTCTGACTTGCTTGCTCTTTTTGCCTAGTTTTATCTGAAGCAATTCACTAGATTGCCTGCTTTCAGAAAAAGTGCCCTTCTGCACCTGTGTCCATCCCTCAAAGGAGAAATAGGATGTGTGTGATCTTTTCTAGAGTTTTCTGTGACTCTTTATGAAAACCCTTTAACTGGTTGACATTTTTAAATGGAATTTTTGTTAATTTCTGGAGGCAAACATAAAATAAAAATAAAATCTTTCATATTAGCATCAGTTGAAGTAGAAATTATATGTTTTTGCATTCATCCTGTGTAAGCATTGTTCTTGAAACGGGACTGTATCCTCAGGGTCCAATTAAAGAAACCAAATGAGGATATAAACTTTCTAAACAAAGGACGCAGCTGAAAATTGCATCTGGCACCAATCCTAACTTTTTGTTTGTCCAAAATTGTCCTTTGAGCTTAGGAATTTTTAAGACAGTCTAGGGAGTTTTCCTTTGTACATGCTTTATAAGCATATTATCCTTTCTGGGCAATCGATTCCAGATACAGTCCAAATGCACGTTCTAATGCGAAACGTTGAGCCTGGATGAGTTGTTTATTGGTAGCCCTCACCGTGACACTGGAGATCTCCAGCCTTAACCCGATTTGGCCGAATAGGTGGCGCCAGGCACAAGCGGGGAGGGTGAGCCGCCCGCGCTGAGCTCACGGCTGCCCCGTTGGTCTGCACCAGCTCCCCCTCTGCTGACTGCTGAAATGGTTCATCATGTCTCTGTGTACAAAATGACCCCCAAAATGTGGTCTTCTACTTGTGATTACTTAAACTATTTTTGTAATTCTATATCATACCATTTTCAGGCTTCCATTTCTTCATTATTATCCTTCAGCTAAATTGATAATTTTTAAAGTGCATTCTTGGGCCCCAGCGCAGCCATAATTCACATGCAAATGTTTCCATTGTACGAGATTCTGCTGTGAAATGGGTAGCTTTCCAAGCCCTGACCTGAGGTGAAGGCAGGCAGCTGCCCTTCCTGTGCGCAGCTGTGTTACGGAGTGACCTCCAGTCTCTGTTGACCACACGGCTGTACAGGCAAAACCACCAAATGAACCGCCATAGCAGTCAGAACCGTGTACACAGATTCTGACGCCACGTGTCTGATAATGACCATGGTAAATGTGCTGCTGCTTCACCAGACTTTCCATGTCATGTCTGACCCGCTGTAGCTTTTCTTTAATCATTTCTTCGGTTTTTTGCTACTGTTGTCATTTTTTCAGCAATATTTTATGCTGTAATTAATTGTCTCCTTTACTTAGAGAGTATTATTGGTTATCTTGTCATCCTAAGCATAAACGGCTGAGAGGACAAGGGTATCTCTGAGTGTTTGCTTTAAAAAACAAACAAAAAATCAAACATAAAAACCAACTAACTTATAGACATAACCCAAATTCTATTTATATAAATTTTCCATTTGAGTTAAAATTGCTTCTAACTAGAAATTAGATAAGCTTATTCTTTTGCTTCTCGATAATATGACTTATTTCCTTTAATATTTTTGAAAAGACATATCAGGAAATCATAATTACTTGGTGGCAACACAAGGGTAACATTTTAATTTAATTATAATGAAAGCATTGGGTTTTCTTACTTCTATTGATTGCCCTTGGGTGCACGTGGATTCTTCCAGCACCTGTTGGATGGGCCCTCAGAGAATCGTGACACACAGGTGTGGTTGCCGCTGACTTTCAACAGAGAGACATCTAGGTGGAGGCACACACATCCAAACAGTCCTTAGGGTTGCAATTCAGCTTCTGAAGTTTAAGCACATGGAGTGCAACTAGTTGCTATAAATTTGTTTTAGATACCTTTATCATTCTATTATTAAATGCTGATACTATTCTCTAAATTTTTGCCTAGGTCTGTAACCAGTGATGAAGGATCCATGAATGCATTCACAGGAAGGGGGTCACCTGGTAGGGGTCAAAAGACTAAAGTCTGTACCACACCTTCATCTGGTCATGCTGCATCTGGGAAGGACTCAAGCAGCAGATTGGCTGTTACAGACCCCACTCGGCCTGGTGCCACCACCAAAATCACCACCACCTCCACCTACATTTCTGCCTCTACACTTAAAGTTAACAAGAAAACCAAAGGGCTCATTGATGGCCTTACTAAGTTTTTTACACCATCACCTGATGGTCGCAGATCACGAGGTGAAATAATAGACTTTTCAAAGCACTATCGTCCAAGGAAAAAGGTCTCTCAGAAACAGTCATGCACTTCTCATGTGTTGGCTACAGGTACCACACAAAAGCTAAAACCTCCACCTTCTTCACTTCCACCCCGAGCCCCCATCTCTGGTCAGAGCCCCAGTTCACAAAAGTCCAGCACGTCCACCTCTTCTACCTCTCCCCAGAGTTCTTCCAGCCAGTCCAGTGTGCCCTCCCTGAGCAGTCTCACTAGTAACAGCCAGCTGAAGGCACTCTTTGATGGACTCTCTCATATCTATACCACTCAGGGACAGTCTCGAAAGAAGGGACACCCAAGTTATGCACCACCCCAGCGCATGCGTCGTAAAACTGAATTCTCTTCCGCAGCAAAGTCTAAAGCCCATTTCTTTGGAAAAAGAGATATTAGAAGTAGGTTTATGGCTCACTCCTCCTCCTCTAGCTGGGGGATGGCTAGAGGACGTATTTTTAAAGCAATTGCTCACTTCAAGCGATCAACTTTCCTTAAAAAGCACAGGATGCTAGGCAGGTTAAAATATAAAGTGACCCCTCAGATGGGGACCCCCTCACCAGGGAAGGGGAGCTTGACAGACGGAAGGATTAAACCTGATCAGGATGATGGTAAGCAAAAGGTCAAAGCTCCAACCAAACCTGCGTCCCGTCCCTTTCTCCCCCAACCCCCCAAAAATCAACCAATCAACTCCTATTTGTCACATAGGTCTCAGCTATTTTCTCCTGTTCTCACTTCACTTTCATACAGAAACAGCGAAACTCTGACCTTTTTTTCTAATGCTGACTAAACCTCCAAAATGTTGTTTTTTTCCAACTAATACTCTCCCACCTTTTATTATTTATTTCCATTCGTAGTGACACTAGGACCCCCCAGATGCCTTCATTAGCGTTGCTTATGGCTTTGTAGTCCCGCATGAGTAGCCACTGTCACGCTTCTGCCATGCCCTTTCCCGCGGCCTCTGCAGCCACAGTGCCGGTCGGTCGCACGCTGTGAGCGCCTCCAACGGGGTTTTCGGCTCCCCGCCCCCCTCCGCTCCATCGCTTTCTCATGACCAAGTTCATCCTGCTTCCTTCTCAACAAACTGACCTGTGGTTCTGTGAGCTGTGCTTTTGGGTGTGAGTGTGTCTGTGTGTGTATTCACCTTAGGGAGAAAACCTAAGATTTCAGAATTTCATTGGACAAATTTGGCCCGTTCCATGTGCTACCCTTTATAAAACAAAAAGCCAAAAAAAAAATGTGTCATTTGAACAGAGTGGTAGATTTTGCTAACTCAAAAGTAGTAATGGGATTTCTCTAACTAGACTTCTAATCTTGGTTGGAAAATGTGATTTTGTTTTGTGTTGCTCTTACTTTCCCTCATTTACGTATTGAAGCTATGACAGTGATTATTCAAATAAAAATTGGGGTACAGCAGGGAAAGGGTACTGCTGGATCTCTGAGCAGTGCTTAGCTGCAAACGTTTATAGAGCTTTACTGAAAATCCCTATTTGCCCACTATGCTAATTTGGTACCGTTTTGGTAATGTACGGTGGTCACTAGTGATTCCAGTTGGTGAAGACACTTTCTGCTGGTTTTAAATGACAGATACTGAAATCAAAATAAGCATCAAACAAGAAAGTACAGATATAAATGTGATTGGAAACAAGGAAACTGTCACCGAAGAGGACTTGGATGTGTTTAAGCAGGCCCAGGAGCTCTCTTGGGAGGTAAGGCCCGGCTACCGTTATCACCACAAGGTGATGTGTGTGACTTCTTACTTTATGATTGTTATGAAATGCAGCTTTGATTTTATAGAATCTCCTCCTCAAAATCCCCTGTGGTTCTTTTAACTGTGATCATGATTGTTTTTGTTTGCCTGTCCATTCAAAAGCAATGACGTTGTGGAGGTATCTGCACTCTTAAAGGTTAGCAATGCTCAGCTGGTCTCACAGAATAGACCAGAGTAGCAGTGGCTGAGTCCTATTTTGAAAACACCTAGTTGTGAAGGAATAGAATTCTATTTTTTTTTCCTCCTCAAATATAGAAGATAGCAATTTTAAATCATTAACAAAAACGGAAGAACATTGCTTTTAAGTTTACCGATGCTGCTGCCAACACAGATGGCCAGCCATATGAAAAACGTCTCCCAACCTTAACTCTTTGGAATGGATAAAGGCAATATTATGTTGTATGATCAGTCATAGTCACTTTTCTTTTTATTGTCCAGGAATTTTTTTTTATCTGATTCCACTTAAAATGTTAACTCTACTTAGCTTATTGTCACCAAAACATTGGAAGGTAAGGCTATTGGACTTCTCAAAGACAAATTCTGTCTGGATTGTGACTTTTTTATGTCAGTAGACCACATTCCATTGGCACAATACTCACGGATAAGCTCCCTACCCCACCTCACTTCCTTTTTAAGGGGAAGGAGGCCATGTATAGGCTCTTAAACTTTATTTTCAGTAGCAGTCATTTGGGCTAAATACTTTGGTGGTTTCTACTTCAGGGGCTATTGGATGTTTCCATTCATCATTCTGCCCCAGCAGTATGCTTTGTGTTGTTTTTCCTTTGGCTAAGATAAATGTCAAAATTTCCCCCAATCTTTGAAATTTCTAGTCCTTAAATATTACAATTTCTTTAGCCTATTTCTGGCATTCGTAGATAAATGGGATGAAAGCAGGCATTGTCTGAAAGATACTGTTAAGTGTAAAGACCTTTCTATCCAACGTGCTAACACTGGCTTTTTCTTTTAAGAACATTTCTTGTCTGTGCCAGGCACTGTGCTGGACACTGAGAATGTCACAGTGAATCCGGCAGACGATGCTCTTAACCTTGTGTAGTCTACTGCACAGGAGTAAGGGGAGTAGGAGGAGACTACACCATTGATTACTTAATTATAATTGGGATAAATATTACCTTGTGGAAGAATGGGGACTGGAGAATCTATATAATAGCCTCATCATCTTTTAATTTCTTCAGTTTCAATACATTGCAACAGATCATTGAATTCAGTTTAATAGACATTTGTATTTACATCATGTGCATCCTATCTTGGTGGTACTTTTTTTAAAGTATTAGTTTGTTTATATATAAACCTTATACAAAGTTGATTATTATTTCAAGGCCTATAATGTTTTTTTCAACAACATGAAAATTCACAATTAAGATTAGGGTTCTGGTCTTGATAGGTTTTCATATCCACCAGTGAAAGAGCCAAGATGTAAGTGAAGAAATTCCTTTCTAACACTAATATTTTCTTTCTTTTCTTTCTCTCTGACAGAAAATAGAGTGTGAGAGTGGAGTGGAAGACTGTGGCCGGTACCCTTCTGTAATAGAATTTGGGAAATATGAAATCCAGACTTGGTACTCCTCACCTTACCCACAGGAATATGCAAGGTAATGGAATAAGCCTGCAGGTATATAACTTTAATGTCATATATGTGAGGGAGAAAAAAATCTTGATTCTAAAGCAGGAATATATTATTTTCAGGACATACATTTTGATGGTAGATTTTAAGTGCTTCCAAAACTATTCCTTTGGCCAGTATATTTTTTTTTAATAGTACTTAATGTCCTATTTAAGCTCCTAACACTCCTTAGTTACACAGGCATCATAAATTTTGCCTTTTAGCTTTTAGATCATGCTTTTTCTCTTTGGTTAATTGTGATTAACTTGTTAAAAGTGAAGAGAAAATAATAGTACTAGAGATTTCATTTGTCTTGAATTAAGATTAACTGAGATTGTCTTGAACTAATACATTTTAAAATGGGTATCTTGTGGGCAGATTATCTTCCTTCAGGTATATCAGGGTACGCTTTATTAGTATCTTCTCAACCTTTTTAGCCTGCAAAGTGTCTGGTTAATCACACACTGGCTTATCGTCTACAATAAACATTGTCCTTTTCTCTACCATGTGGGTGTCTGGCCAGTCATCTAATTGGAGAGGATGGGGAGGGTTCTAGAAGTTGAGTAGCAAACTGTCAAGAGTCTTGGTTTCTCTTCCCGGGTTATATCAAGTTGGCTCTTTGTTCTTAAACAATTTTTTAAAAACACCAATGAGCTTTAATTTGTATGGTAACCATAAGTCATGTGTTCTAAGAACTTTGAATAAAATTTGCATATAAGTCCAAGATTTGAAATTACTATTATCTGAGTCTGTATCTAACTCTCCTCAAAATATTTCTCACCTTTCTTTTTTTTTTTATTAATTTATTTTTTTAATGAATGAATGAATTTGGGTGTGGTGTTGTTTTTCTTGTTGTTGTTGTTGTTTTGTGTGTGTGTATGTGTGTGTTTATTTTATTTAATTTCAGGGAGAAGAGAGAGAGAGAAAAAAAAAAGAGACAGAGGGAAGTTGATGATAGAGAATCATTGACTAACTGCCTCCTGTATGTCCCCCACCGGGGATCGAGCTCACAACCCGGGCATATGCCCCAAACCATGACCTCTTGGTTCTTAGTTTGACAACACTGAGCCTTGCTGGCTAGGCAGTTTATTTTTTATTGTTGACAGTATTACAGATGTCCCCCACTGCTCCCCCCACCTTAGCCCCTTCCACCCAACCCTGCCCTCCCTAATCTCCCCAATTCGTATACCCCAAAGACCTTGAAAATGCTGTGAGCATTTGTTGTGAGCACAAATGCTAGCAGCACCCATTTAAGTGTGATAGGGTACAATAAAATAAGGTGGAGAAAAAGGCAGCAGGGAAGAGAAAGCTATTTGTCTAGTGTTACTCAAAAGTGGAATTGGTAGAAACAAACCAGATCTTTTGACTTTCTTACATTTAGTGCTTTAGACCATATGTAACTATGATACTAACTTTAAAGTCATCTGACCCCTAAGTACAAGAGGAAACAATTATATTCTCGGGCTCTTCTGCCATATAAGTATGCAGATTATTTTTTAAAATAATGAATTCACTTCTGAGTAAATGATTCTTGTAATTATACCACTGACCACATATACTATTGGAACTATGACATTAAATGAAATTTGAAAAATATACATGGTTACATGATAGGATGCTATTCTATAGTTGGTTTTTAGAACAGTGGTTCCTGTTCTGAAAACCTTACTTTCTTCAGGGCATTTCTAAGAAAAGACATGATTTATTCATAGAATAAGGCAACAAATATTATGTTGAAAAGTAATGTAAGGTTTGTCAGTTCTCTTTACTATTAACTTGGGGGGTTTTTTTTGCTTTTTTTTTTTAACTACTTTTTTGAAATGCTATTATACAACCTTGATATGATTTAGAGACCATTGAACAGTATTTAATATTTTCCCCTAAATAGTATAATCAATCTGAAAGATTCTTTGATTTTAAAATTTTAACAGGTTACCAAAGCTTTACCTGTGTGAGTTCTGTCTTAAATATATGAAAAGTAAAAACATTTTGTTAAGACACTCCAAGAAATGTGGATGGTTTCATCCTCCAGCAAATGAAATTTACCGAAGAAGAGACCTTTCAGTATTCGAGGTAAGCGCGTGTAAATAAAACACTCAGCTTTTGAAACTTAGTATTTCCAGTCTTCCACTATGTGTTGAATTGTTTGTTGACGGTGTAAAGTCTACTCAGTCTTGGCATTGAAATTCAGACTGCTCTTCAAAATATCTCCCTGTTTTGGAATGTTTATCGGACCATATTAAGCAACCATTTAGATTGATAATGAATTCCTACTTCATCATATTAACTTTTTGTCTTGCCCCAAGTCCCTGTCCGCACCAGAAATGTTCACCAGTGAATTTATGAGCTCCTCGGCTCTCTGTAAATTCTCCTTCCTCTGGCAGGAGACATGAGCTTTGTTCGGCAGCTCCAGCCAGTGTCTGGCAGGTGCTCCCCCTTCCAGGGAATTGAGCAGCTGTCCATATCTCCTCGGCGCACAGCCACCTGTGTTTCCATCCGTTTCTTGGCAGAGTTGATAATCCTCTTGGTGAGCCCCCGGCAGATGTTGGGGCTCCCCCCCATCTGGGAGGATGACCACCCCTGGAGAACTCTGCAATTCACAGGAACCCCTTGTGGCTCTGTCTGTCATTGTGGATTCTCGCAGATATTTTGTGTTTTCCGAATTGATTTAGTAGCAAAAGGCCTTTGCCTCTATATCATTTCATTGTTCATTCATGTTTCTACCGTCAGTTTCAGGGATCCGGTTTAGCTGAGGCAGCTGTACCTTGAGGAAACCATGCCTTCTTTTTCGTGTTACTGCCTTTTCACAGGGTGTCTTTCTGTCCTTTATTCTCCCCTTCCACTGCCCTGCCTTATTTTCTTCTCTGTTACCCACCTTGGTGCATTATTTTTCGTTCCTGGGTACTCAGTAGACGTGATATTTTCTCTCTGAAATACAGTTTTACTTTGGATTCTTTTTTTCTGAATTGTTCAGAGTGGAATGTATTGTTCCGCTCCACATTTCTCTTGAGCTTTGGTCTGTAATGTCTCCCGTTGTATCTGACACAGGGAGGGTCATACGTAGGTTTCTGGCAGGGGTCAGTCTTCCCCTCTCAGACTAGCGGGGCCCACTGCTTTTTCCCAGGGCTGATCAGAGAACACCGGTGACTGCAGCTGTGTCTCAGGAATTTTTAAAGCCCCTCTCCCTGGGTGTATCAGGCTCTCTCTTGGCAAGCTTGACAGAAGAAGGGTCATGTTGCTGGGAAGATTGGATGTTAGTTCTTACCAAGGGCAGGCACAGGGTTTCTCTACCTGGGCACCGTTCACATTTCGAGCTGGATATTCTTTGTTGCAAGAGGCTGTCCTGTGCATTGGAGGACATTTAGCAGTAGCCTCTACCTGGACATTTAGCCTCTACCAAGTAAACGCCAGTAAGACCACCATCCCTCCTGTTGTAACAACCAAAAATGCCTCCGGGTGTAACCCATGTCCTGGGGAGGTTTGGGAGGGGGAGATAAAGTCACACCCAGAGAGAGAGCTGAATGCAAGTTCTTATCCTTCCTGCTGCTAGTCTTGGGATGTGACCCAGCAGGTCCCAGCCAGATTCAGGCAGCAGAGCTGTCCGCACTTGAGGCTTAGCGAATGTCACACGTTCAACTTTCCTTTTGGCTCCTTCCTCGGTGCCTTGTTCCTTTCTTTTAACCAAAATAAAGTGAAATCACCCGTCTCCCTGCTTCCAGAAGGACAGAACACGTTGTGGCTTTTAAGTAATTGTTAAATAAATCAGCATGAATCCGCCTGTGGGGCTGAAGCTTTCGTAAATCCAGGGGTTTCCTTAAGGATGAGAGAGTCAGTGTTTCCAGTTGCGAGGCCGGTAAGAGCGGTCTGCTCTTTCAGGGCAGATGCTTTGGGGCCGCACAGAGATGAGACGGGGAAAGTCAGAAGCAGATTTTTAAAATTTATTCATAAAAATAATTGAAAAAATTGGATTGGATAAGACCAAGGTCCCTATTCTAGAATCTAAGTTAATACTTGGAGTGCAGCATGTCAGAAATTTCTCTGAGCAGTTTCCTAAGTATCTTGAAAATAAAGAATAATCACAGATTACCACTTGCCGGTCTTCTTTATCATTCTTGAGAGCAGGCCACGTCAGACCTTTCACATCTGGTAAGATTTGGCTTCGGCATTGTCATCTCTGTTTTTCTGGTTCACAGATACATCTTTGTCCTTTTTGTAATGTACTACCATTTCCAACAGGACTACATTCCCAAATACATAAAAACTTACTTTAATTAAAGAGAGAATTGTAGCCTCTGTACCCGTTGCCCATATTTGATTATGTTGCTATGTGTGGGACCTAGGTTTCATCCAAGGGAAATAGTTATATGAAGTCTAAAAATAATTTGTGCAATATGAGAACCTGTATGGTCCACAGGAGACTCAAGAACAGTGAAGTTCATTGTTAAAGAGCTCTGGTTAGCAAATATCCATTTCCCCTAAGAGAAGTGCTGGGGAAATTTTTCTTGAATCTGCTGTGATTTCTGTTTTCAACAAGTAACTACATTTGATCAAAGAAATTGGCATCTGTGCTTAGCCTCCTGTCTATAGCCATCAGTATCACAGCTTGATTCTTTTATTTTGAAGGAAAATAGACTGTAATCATTGTACTTATTGTAGGTTGAAATTCATCTCACTTTCTCTGTAAGTATTCCCAACATAGAAATTTTATCTTTTCCAATTATATTTAAAATGATGCTTGGAATAAAACCAAAATGGAAGCCTCTTTTGCTAATCCTCACTTCTGAAGAATCAGAGTAATATAGCTCATTTATTTTATTTTTATGTGAAGCCCTTTTGTAAACAACATAAAGTGTAACTTACTTGAACAGTATTTTGATCTGTTTACATTTCTTCAGTTCAGGTTTACATGGTTCAAACAGAGAGGACATGCCTGATCATTTTTTACTCGTAATAAATTGCAAATAAAAAGTACTCCTTTGTTAGTAGTTTGGTCTTTCTTCGGGTAGCTTAAAGAGAAATTGAAGCTATCTTATGCCCCAATTTCAGAGAAAAGGTGGAATTCTGTTTTGCCAAGGGACACCTATTTTCTGTTTAACTTTATACTTGTTTAATAAAGTGTTTTAATCTCTCCGTTTGGGGATTTGGAAATAAAACAATGTACTTTCCAAACACCATATAAAAGGAACAATTTTATATTGAGTGGTATTTTTATGATAAATAATGTTGTCTGTTTCTCTTTGCTAGGTTGATGGGAATATGAGCAAAATTTATTGCCAAAACCTTTGCTTGTTAGCCAAGCTCTTCCTGGACCACAAAACGTTGTATTATGATGTCGAGCCATTCCTTTTTTATGTCCTTACAAAAAATGATGAAAAGGGCTGTCATCTGGTTGGATACTTCTCTAAGGTAAAACAAGAGCCAGTGTGACCTTCATTTTCCTTTTCAGAATGTTTTTGGTAGAGCCCAGCTCTTTGAACAGGGCTTTTTTATCACTATAATTTGAATAAGTGACACATGTTTCTGAAAAGCTCAGGTTCTTGTTCACAGCTCATTTAAAAAACAACAAAAACAATCACCACCATGCCTAGGACGTGTGTAAAGGACCTCAGCCCTGCTTGCTGTCTTGATTTTCAGCATCCACGTAACGTCATAATTGCAGCTGCAGACCACCTTGCATCTTTGATTTTCTGAATGTTAAGCTTATTTTCTTTTTTCCCTCTAAGTGGTGTCAACATGAAGATTTCAGTGTAATTAATGCAGCATTTAAGAGATAATTCCCATCCCTTTTCATTGCGTTCCCTCTGTGGTTATCAGTATCTCCGTGAACGGGAACATTGGCATTTGGACAGCCAAGCTGATGCAATGACTGGTGGCACTCTTTCATCTCTTGTTCTCTGCGCTATTGTCTTAAGATCTAAAACACTATCGCCTTTAAAAGGCCTGAGTATCTCCAGTTGTTAACATTGGGAAGCCTTGCTGTATTGAGGGGATGTCATTTGTCTTTTTCACTCATTCAGAATGATTTTCTCACATCCTTCGGCTCAAAGGCTTCTGAGAAACAGCTCATATACAATGAAGGAAAACTGAGTTTGGGGGTACTTACCAGGCACTGGCCTGAACTATCCTTAGGCACCTCTAAAATAATTTAATGTGCCAGGATGGTAATAGGAGGCTTCCAGGCAGAAGGTATAAATGATCAAGACCTTGTGTGGTTGTTTTTTGTTTTTTTCTTCTTCTTTATGATATATTTTTTCATATTAGGTGATAAGTGAACTTACATAATATGAGTGGAATGCTTTATAGAAATGTTATTTTCAAGGAAGATCAAAAGATAGAATATATATATAAAGGTCCTTTACAAACTGTAGTTTTTCTAAATTTAAGAATCAGTATAAAGACCATAAACAGAAATGCTAGTAAATGACAGCACTCATGGGAAACTGCCTCGATGTCTTAATCTACATATTTAGTAAAGCTCTCAAGTGAAAAAGAAGGAAGTTTATTTGTGCATTACAGATTCAAAAGATGAAGAATCAGCACAGAACTTTAAATAGGAAATCTATTTATATAATTTCTAAAACATCCTATCTTTTTCTCTTAAAATTTAAAAAGAATAGAGGAGAGGATTGTCCTTCCTATAGAACATGGTGCAGTTTCAGTGTATCTGTTCAAACATAGATGCTTAATGTTGCCTGTTGCCCCTGCCCTGCCTCTGGGTCTACGGTTGGTGGTGACTCTTATTGTTTGAGCCTCTGCCTCTTCCTCCAAGGCCCCACGTTTTGCTCAGAACAAACTAAACTTTTCTCATTTTGTCACAGTTTCTGTTATAGCATAGCAGCAATTTCTTACCATCTTCAGAATACTGGTATTTTTGGCAGTGTAGTGAAACAGAAATTCATCTAAAATAACCATGTTGCCTGGGCAGTGTGGCTCAATGGTTGAGCATCGGCCCATGAACCAGGAGGTCATGGTTGGATTCCTGGTCAGGGCACATGCCCTGATTGCAGGCTTGATCCCCAGTAGGAGGCATACAGGAGGCAGCCGATCAATGATTCTCTCTCATCATTGATGTTTCTATCTCTCCCTCCTTCTCTCTGAAACTTAAAAGACTAGCTACAAATCAAATCATACTCTAGTGTGTCAACTGGAATGTGAAGGACTATGGCCCTTTGGAGTTATACTTAAACCAAATGCCAGAGGGTATAGCCATAGAATGGCCAAGATGACCTAGCAAAGTTCAGTGTAAATTATTACATGCATGTGACTATCCAAGCACATAATAGATTGCTCTAAACAGGAGAGAATGGATGTGCAGTTATGTTATCTAAAGATTAGGATTTAGGTGTACTAACATGTTTTGGGGTGTGGGATTATCCTTGAGCTGGATTTCAGGAAGTCTGCCAGGAATAGGAAGGAATCTTCAGCATAAAGAGAAGAATGACAGCAAGGGTGAATTCTTTTAAGCCAGTGTACATCTCTTTTTAGATGGAGTGACCCATTTGTCTAACTTTGCAAAATAGACTAATTATTTGAACCTTTGCCATTGATGTTCACATTCAGAGATGGACAATCCCGCTTCCAAGGAAAACTGATACTTATTATTTCTTCCTCCTCATTTCTTAGGCTCCACAGACAGCTCCAAATGTGCAAAAGTTGGAAGCACATCTCTTTCACAAAGAAAACTTTAATTCTCCCCTGTAGGGGTTTTTCCACAACCATTTCCTGTGATCTTTCAAACAGGTTCATTAAAGATCTGGGTGTTCTGAGGCAATTCTTTGATGTGGTTGGTACCATTTGTGGTCAATCTTATTTGCGGCTTCTATTTGGCCAGAGCATTCACAACCTCAAAAGCCTTTTCCAGATCTTCCCTGTGTAGGTTTTTGGCGGCTTCTGTGTACTCTGCATAAAACGCTGCCACTCCGATGCCACTTCCCACGAAGCTGCAAAGTCTCCCTTAGCTGTAAGCACATGCACTCCCAGCCTTGCTCTTGGTTTCGGGCTGCGGCAATACGCTGGCCTCGTTTTGTTGGGCGGCTTTGGGGTTTCTTTTTTGCCGCTACCGCTTTTGTTTTGTATTTCTGGCTTGAAATGCAGATTAATTATTTCTCCAACTTTTCCCTTTGACTTTTCATTCAAAGGAGAAATGTATTGGTGCAAACCTACCCACACACATACTATTTTAGTTTCCCTGGGGCATTTGCTCAGAGGCATAAGACATACTGCTGTTGTGGCACGGTACATTATTTAGCAAGGTGGCTGGCTGAGTCCTCACTGACAGCGCCGGGTGGCTCTTCCAAGTTGTGTTGAGCAAGGAAAGCATTTCTTCCATACTGTCTGTGTTGTTTCATTTGGCTCACGTTTCCTTGGATTCTTTATTCATATGTTATGCTACTGGCTTCCAAGAATAAAGACATGATTGAGACACACGCCCGGAGTCGATGGTTTGTCGTTAGCTGGTGGTTTGATTGATTAGCAGTAGGATTACTCTGCTTGAGCCTCACCTGACACTCTGGCTCACCTCCGCGGACTGTGGTACAAAGCCAGCGGCAGGTGCAGGGAATGGCCCACTTCAGCGGAGTCTGACATCCTCGATCTGTTCCTCCCTCCCTCCCGCAGGAGAAGCTTTGCCAGCAGAAGTATAATGTCTCCTGCATAATGATCATGCCCCAGCACCAGAGGCAAGGATTTGGACGGTTTCTCATCGATTTCAGTAAGTGGAGTGCTCCCTTTGCTTTCATGACCCAGTGAGCCGATCGCAGCGAAAGGGAGAGTGACATAAAACTTTGTTTAACCTGCGTTGTGTTTGTCAGTAGGTAATGGTTTTCCTATTTATATTTGCATAGGTTAGAAAATCTTCCTCAAGTGAAAAATTTACTGCTGCTCACTTATTGTACTCCAGGAAATTGAGACTAGATCTCTCAGCAGTGCCGCCCGCTCACAAAGCCATTACCCCGAATGAACCGGCAGAATTGCATTCCATTCCATGGTGTTCATGCTCATTAGCACCAAGAGAGGCAATTATTTGCGATTAAAGCTGAAGAAAGTGTTATTTAAAAGGATATTCAGCTTTCTAAAATTTTGCCTATAATCTTGTACGGTACAGAGCAGGGGAGGGATAGTTCTCGCTAGAAAAACAATTCTGTAGGTAGCCTGTTCTTTGAGCCTTCCTGGTAGAAATAACGATCTTGTTTTGTTCACAAAGTACATCAAATGCAAAACCCACAGTGTAAATGTGCGCAATGAAAATCGGGGAGAGCTAAGTTGAATATATATCTACATTATTAGATATTGAAATATTAATATTAAAGTGTAAAATAATGGCGGATCAATTTTGAACTGATGGTGTGATGTATTAACATTGAAGGATATTTTTTAAAGTAGTTTTTTTTTTATTGATTATCTTTGTGTTTTGGGGTAACATTTCTAGTTATTAATTCATTACCCTCATCTATTCTTTCCTGACCTAGTCTTCCCAAGGAGGCCATCTTACCGGAGTTCATGTTTTCATGTCAGAGAGTAAATCCAATGGTCTTGTTCTGAAGTTTTGTGGCCAGCATTCATAAGTTGTTCATAAATATTAGAATTTCTGGCATGCAGAGCAGCCATTCAAGACTGAAACTGTTGATAGTTTGTTTGCGTGACTAGCGAATAAGTTCATTGTTCAAGGTCTTCCAGCTTCTCGTTGCAGCCTGTGGCTTTTTCGTCTACTACCGTCCCCTCGAGTGTCCTGACTCCCCTTCTTGGTGTCTGCAGTCCCCTCCCTGGAATGCGCACGGCCAGCCTGAGCACCTCTTCCTTTTGACCCACCTCCTGCTTTCACCTCATCTCCTCCTGGCTCCCGGCTCTGTCTCGGGGCCCTTAGACGCAGCCCGCCCTTTGGTCCTAATCATGGATGTGTTATATCTCCAGTTCACTGTAAACTCCTTGAATACCTTCCTCTTTGTCTCCGGTAGGACAGTGCACGCAATAATCCTCATTAGTTTTGTATGCTTGTTGATTGGAATTGGGTCTTCAAAGTGATAGGGTCATTGCCCACAATAATTTCCTACCTAAAATGGAAAAGGGGCTGGGACTTGCCAGGTAAAAATGCACGTCTCCAGACACAGAAGCTTCTTATTTGTACAACATGGTCTTGTACTGAGGCCTTCGACATCAGGAAACCACCCCGGGAAAAAGACGTTACCGGCAACTACTACATCCCTGAGTCAGCCATTTCTGGGAAAGCTCTGTAGAGCCTACACTGTATTTTTAAACGTGAGCTGGGAGACACAATAGAACCCTTGTGGATGGCTCAGGGCCAGCATGATGAATGCCCTCCGTGAGGGCGTGTCCAAGCAGTGCAGCGCTGAGGGTCTAATTTTAGATTTTCTCTTTCCTATGCCGTTGGCATTGCCCCTACACTGGAGTGGATTAAGGAGTGCGGTGAATGATTTGAATAACGTTGAGAGGGGATTGGGGTTATTCCTTCAGAGAAGAGGAGATCAGGGGAAGAATTTTATAACATTCAAAGAAAATTGGAAGTAGTGTAAAGCCAATAGAAATCTAATTTAAAACAAAACAAAGTGCCTTGCCTACTAAGGTTTTAAAAAAGATAGAGTAGGCTGCTGGAAAAAAAAAATGGATAGCATTGTATGCTTTGGAGTTTCTTAAAATAATAGTAGATAAATATCTCCCTGGAACAATTTAGGTCCAGTCTTTTGCAGAAGAAGGAGTTAAACCCCATGACCTCCCAAAATCCTTCTCAGCCTCATAATTCGGAAATCAGGGCAAAACAGATTAACGGGGATTATGGGTTTTCTGAAATCTGCTGTTAAAGGGACCTTTTAATGATTATATTTATTTTATTCCTACTTTGTACGTAAGCCCGAGGGTCTGTGGTCAGGGGATGTGTTTTCAGTAATTCAATAAAAGTTGTAAGACAGGAAAAACCTTATTTTGTATATAGCAGCAGCTAGTTCAGGAAGCTGAAACTACCTGCCCACTTGCACCCAGGCTCATAGGCATCGGTGACATACACTGTGTCTCCGTAAAGAGCTGTGAATCCGTGGCTTTGAAAACTTCTCCAGGCCAGTCAGAGCGGGGGAGTGGTCATCCACCAGGCCAGGTGCTGCCCTTGGGACAAGTGGTCTCTCTTCCTAGGACAGCTTGTCTGGGATTTGCAGTTTGGCCAGAGTGACTAGAGGACACCACCTCCGCCTGCTCAAACCACCTCATGGGGTATGTGACTCTGCCCAAAACTTAAGTGGGTTGAGGAAGGTGTGACTGTCAGAGGTCAAAGCTGATATCACATGTCTTTCTCCTGGATCCTGAGATTCCCTCTGTCGCAGTCAGAAATTTTTAAGGATCTCCCCATCTCTGTCTTCACACGCACGCACACGCCATGCATGTATGTACACATACATATGCCCTACCTTTCATCCCCAGCAGAGAAGCCTCCTTCCCACGAAACCTGTGGTTTCTGCTTCGAAGCCTCCCAAAGCAAGTAGCTGCCCTTCTCCAGGTACCGCTGGGTCCCGGGATGCCTGAATGTCCCTGCCGAGCTGCCCGGCAGTGCCCTCTCCCGCTCACTAATTTTCCCTTTAATTTTGAAATAATTTAATACAGACAAAAGCTACTAAAACAGTATTAACCTGTTAACCAAGCGGGACTTATAAATACGTCAAATGTAAACAATATCTGGAACAACGAGGACATATGAATACATCCTTGAAATATATGTTGCGCCCTGAAACAGACAGTATATATTTTTTGTAATCTTTATAATTGTTTGTAAAATTTATAATTTTTAATTCAATGTTTCCATTTTTTTGTTGATATTCTTTTCTATTTGTTTGTAATTTTGTATTTCCCTTTGTGCTTTATATATAAATAAATGAAAAATATATATTTCATTTATTTTAATTAAGTGTAAATAAAAAAATAATAATATGAAATTACGTCCACCGGGCGTGACGTACTGACACGTCCTAGTGAAAGAGTACGCGCCCGTTATACGTTGCGTAATTAAAAAGGGAACTCCTGGTTAACAGGTTAAGAATTCCCAAATACTCTCCATCCAGATTTCTCAGATGTTACCATTTTATCATATCTGCTTTCTGCTTTATTATTCTCAACTTCCCTCCCTCTTGTTCCTGATCTGCTACTTCATTTAAAACAGACACACACACACACACACACACACACACACACACACACACACACACGCAAATTCTTTATCTGAATCATTTGAGAGTAATTGGCAGACCTGCTGCACTGTTAGGCCTAAATGTTTTAGTGTTTTTCTAAAAACAGAGATACTGTCATTCAAAACCACAAATTATCAAAATCAAGACATTAATGTTAATTCAGCACTATTACATAATCTTCTTCAAATTTCAAATGGGCCAGTTTTCATGAATGCCCTTTCAAGGAAAGAAAACGTCTCCGCATCTAGGATCACATGTTGAATTTCATTATCCGTTGTTAAGCCTCTTGAGTACTCTGGAATAGCAAGTTATTTTTTGGCAGATTTTTGTGGTAGTAGGTGTTGTTTTTTCTAATCTTGACATTGTTAGCTTGACTTATTTTCTACAATGTCCCTCAATTTGGTCGTCTGATACTTCCATGATTAGACTCAAATTACACATTTTAAGGCAGGAGTGCCACAGGAAAGATGCTGTGTACTCAGTGTGTCTTAGCAAGATCACATAGTTTAGTTGTCCCATTACTGCCTTAAGGTGGTGCCTGCTTGAGCTCCTCACTATAAAATAACCCCTTTCTCTTTATAACCAGTAAAATGGCTGGTAAGAAGACACATTTGAATTTACTGTGGTAGTTACCAAATGGTGACTTTCCAATTCCATTGTTCCTTCTACTTATTAGTTGACATTTACTGTAAGGAAAAGCTTTCTTTATTAAATGTTTAATACAATAACTACTTTATCTAATTACTCATTTCTTTATATAATTCTGGACTCATTGATTTTTTATTTTATTCTGAGGTTTATAACTTGTTGCTGCCATTATTTGTTTTGATATTCAAATTGTCGCAGATTTATTCAGTGGGAACTGCTTCAAACTGCCTCCTGTGTCCTTCTGACCTTTGGGTACTTCCTTACTTTGCAGAACAACATGGTGTTCCGGATCATCTTGTTCCTTTCCTGACCTCGCCGTGCAATCACCCACTTCTCCTAAAGGCCTTGGTTTCTTATCATGGAAAACAACATAGAAACCAAGATCTGGGCATTTAGATGTGCTTATTGCTATTGGCCTGTCACTGTGTGTAGGCTTTCTTAGGGGATAAAAGTAGGAAATTGGGGGGAAGGGGCTTTATGTACACACATGTGTACTTACACATGTACATATACACACTCACACTTATCCTAAGTTAATACTGAAATGCTGTATTTCAAACTAATGCCACCACTTCCCATTTCCATATTTGTAACTCTGATAGTGAGAAACCCAGCTTCCGTTATCCACAGTCTATTTACATACATGCTCAACCCTAGAATACAACATTAAGTTGTTCCAGGATTGGTAACTCATACCGCCGTGAAAAACAAACCTCCTAGCTCACTACTGGTCAGCATTTCTATACAGATGGTCTCCGACATAGTGATGGTTCAACTTACAGTCTTTTGATTTGACGGTAGTGGGAAAGCAGGATGCATTCAGAAGAAAACATACTTTGAATTTAGATCTTTTCCAAGGCTAGCAATATGCTTGCTG